TAATATCTTGCAATACATTATATAATACTCTTACAAAAACGTTTTTAATACAACTAACCAGTAAACAAAAGTGTGCAATCATATGTTAATTAATGTGCTACATAGTAATTCAAAAACTTGATTTATAGTTCTTACTTGAAAAAGAAAATCGTATATTTTATTATTCCTTTGAAAAAATTCCTTAAAAATATAGTTGTAATATTATTTAATGATCCAAATTTTTTATTATAATTACTTATTTTCTTCACGTTTGTAGTAATTATTTCTGATTTATTTTATATAGACAAATCAAGAAAATCAAGTATGTTCTTCGTCATTATATTTATAATTTTAGATTTAATGAAAGTGAATGCAGTAAAGTTTGATAAAATTCACATAATAAATCAATTAAATTCCTAAATCTTCTAGTTATTAGGTTAATCAGATTAAAAGCTGTACATAAACTAATTAAATATTTAAATATATATCAATAATGAAAAAATCAAAGTTAAATCTTGATTCAAACTTCAATATATATATTGTATAAATGAAATATATACATTTCATTGTACAATTCATATCTATGCATGTCTCATAATTTTAATAAATAAATGATTTATAAATACATATATTATAAATCAGTAAGAAAATTTAATTAATCAATCTTTATATTTGATTGATTGAATGGTATGAGAATGAAATTTTCGAAAACTAACTATTTTATGTAATAACAAAAATAACTTACATTTATAACTAAATTTCTCAAAAACCTGAATAATTAGATCATTAACGACTACTACATATCTATGTTTGTATTAATGAAAATACGAAACAATAAATTTATACTAATTTATACGATGATATAATTCATTAAAACAATAATTATATTAAAAATGATTTAATTAATTTCTTAATCTTTTTTTTAATGGTATCAATCAATATTTGTTTAATTAAATGTCTTTCTAATTTATAACAATATTTTAATTGTGTAGTTCAGTGTACTATTTAAATATCACTATTATAACTGAATTATTAAGATGTTAAAATTAACATTAATTTTCATAAAATTAAATAAATAATTAACGTCTTGTAGTTTCAAATGAATTATTTGTTTCTGTATTGTTTATTATTATAAAATATTTAATATAAAGCAAAATCTTAAATAAAAATTTAAAATAGAATACATCGTTTATCACTTATAAATAATATGAATTGTACAGTAGAATTTTGAATAAGACAATCAAATTAATAATTTCTAATGTTGTTTCTTTAACATAACAACTTGGGAATTAGAAGGGGGAAGGAGGTTGATCACACGAAAAAGAATTAGCATACAATATTCATGTAACTTTTTATATTTAATCATGTAAAACGGTTAAAAATGGAAATCGAGTTTTTATTTACATAATAACATTTTGTTATATTGTAAATTTAATATTAAATTTAATCCAAAACAGAATGATAAAAAAAGATATAATCTCAATATTATGATTGAAAATGTTTTCTGCTACAGAATCGGCAGTAGTATTAATAAACTTGAATAATAAACTAGTATAATTATTTCTTATTATTATTTATTAATTATTAAATAATTTTTAAATATTATTTATTATTTATTAAATAATTATATATTAATTATTTAATAATAAACTTGGAAAATAATGAATTACTTGACGAAGTCAAACTTCAATACATTTGGTTAAAATATACTTCTAGTAACTTATACAATAACAATATGACTATTTGTTGACATAAAAAATGAAAATCTAACATTATGAAAAACGAAACCTAACATGGAATTTATTATACATAATGGAAAAAAACTATCTTTTTCTATACAAATTTTTATTAAGGAAGAAAATCATATATATTTGGCGTTATTAAAATAATATATTACTATTTAACATTCATGAAAATAAAAATTACTTTATGCTGTACTATGAAAGTATATCTTTATGAACTTACTAAACATAATAGTAAGTAATAAATATTATATAAAACTTTCATTGATTTGTGGCACAAAGATTAATTTTTTTCGTTTTTTTTTTCGTTTATCAACATAATTAACTTAGTACTCAACTGGAAGTCTGTTATTGAAATAAACACCATCTCATCTACTTATGATGTGTATTAAATATCAAAATTTATACCAAAAGAAATGTTTTTTAATTATTTATTTACAAATATTTTATGGGATCAAGATATTTAAAAATAATTTCATAATATTCTAAAAATCGTAATAAGATAATGTACAGTTAAATGTAAAATTATACATAATTATTGTTATGTATAATTGTTCAAGCATTAATTTTATATATAATAAAACTAAAGAATGTTGAAGATCAAACATCATTCATTATTAATATATTTGCTAGAAAAAATGAATATATATATATATAACAATGACAGTTTCATTATTTAATTTCAGATTAAATATGATTATTGAATACTTACCTTGACACATATTTTTACAATCTTAAAAAATTACATAAATAACAAATATATCTTGACTAAATATTTAAATACAATATTATATATTACATTTTAAATTAATAGTAAATTATTGAAAATATACTTCTGTAATCATTACATATACATAAATTATTGATTATTAATCATAATTAAGCTACACTTATAAAATTTACATTAGACATGCATTTACATAGAAAAGTTTGTAATAAACGCCTATGAATAGGTATGCAACATTTATAGACATGCAATACACACTGTTACTTAAACTTAAAAAATACGTATTGATATAGAAATGTTAATTTGTACTTAAATGAAATTCAAAAAATTGTTTTTAAAACAATAATTTCAAATATAAAATGTATGAATTCAAATTAGTATATTATAACGATATTTGTTCATAAATAAAATTTTGGAAGATTTGTAAAGTTATGTAAGGAATTAAAAATTTCGCGTGAAAAGTTTTCCCGACTAACGTGTCGATATTTATATGCATCTTCAGATCGTTCTCATATTAGAATCGTAATATTTAACTTTTACGATACGTTAAATATACTGATATAATAACTAAAAATTAAACATGTACACTTATAATCCTGATAATAGACATTGAATATAATAAAAAAAATATTTAATATTTTGTTTTATTTATTTATATAATTTTTTATTATTTTAATATTTAATTGGAAATATCAATTAGAATCTTTTCTGGTAATACTAAAATAATATATTTCTTTATGTCTTATACAAATTTTAAAGATTTTAATTAATCAGAATTTTGAATATTGACTATATAAAATAACATAAATAAGTAGTATTAACTACAGTGAAAATATACAATATTTAAATAGTAGTATTTTTATGCAATGATAGGAAAAAATTTCATTTAATCTAATTGTTACAAATTATCTTATATGCTTTCACTTCTTTATATTATCGCCAAGTTAACAATATTTAAATTAGTAATGCAAAATGTTTTTAATATAAATTTTAACTCCTATAACCTTTGTTTTTACTCAAATATTGCATTGCTCTATGGACTTAAGTTATTTAAAAATAATTCAGTCATATACATTATATAATAATTTCCGAAAGTCCTAACTTACTTTATTAATCTATTATTGTCTTTGATTTACAAATTGAATGTTGATCGTTTCTAATCCTACTCTCTTTTTTTAAATTTTTTTGTTTGATTATATTTAATACTTACGTTTGCATCTAGTAAGTGTTCAGTAAGTGATGGTATTATTGTATACAAAAATTTCAATATATGTTCAAAATAAACGTATGAGATTAGGCAAAGCAAAAAAAGGACAAAATATTGAAGATAAAGATACCAATTAATTAAATGAAATTATAATATTTAATGCATCATTTTCATTTTTCATCATAATTTTTTAAGTTTCTAATGTTATTGAATTAAAATTATTATTAATTACTATTATATATATGTAATTATAAAATAAAAAGTTGACGAACAATGATACATACATTTTTTATTTTATACATTAGTTGGACAGCTTGCAATATCATATATTTAGTGAGAAAATAATAATATTCGTAATCCTTTATCAATAATTAAAATAATTATAAGTAGTTCTTTTAATATATCTATGTATTTTACATTTATCTTTTATTTATCTATTTTTAAATAAATTAATAGATTTATTCATTAAAATAAATAATATCCCTTAAGCAAACTACAGTATATTTCTTATTCTTTATATTTATTTACTCTTTAATTACTATGTACAAGCAAATAAAATTTAGCAATTTTGTATGTTATGATTTTAGGTTTTAATTAAATATATAAATATTTATTTATATAGAGTTAAACAACGTATATAATGTAGAATTAATTTGAATAAAATATTTATTCAATATGTAAATATATTTTAAGAAAATATAATTTAAAACTTTTCAACATATATTTTAATTAATAATACATTTAACATTGTAATAAAAATATATGAGAGCCCTCTTAAAATCCTTTATTTTATTCAAGAAAATATAGACATGTAAGATAATTAAAAGTTAAATAAGAGTACGATGAAAGACAGAGAGGTATATCACAACAATACAAATTATTAGAGATAGATTTATATTACAATTTAATAAAGTATTTAATGTTTAGATTTTTAATAAAAACAAAATAATTAATTATAATAGTTTTATAAATTTAATGTATGCACTTTATTAAAAAAATTAATTTATTAATTTTTCTCTACAAAAACTTACATAGTATTTATATATTATAATTCAATGTTTTTACCCAAAAAAAAAATTAAAAAAATATGGATTATAAATTGAATGTATCTTAATTAAAATTTTTTTAAATAAATATACATAGAGTTCTTACTCTAAAGAATCTTTAATATATACATATATGTATTTTCTTGAATCAAAAGCTCTAATTAAAACAAATTACAAAGGAATATATAAAGTATATTTAATAAAAATATTATACAAGTATGGTTTCCTAAATATGTTCATTATGTAATTTAATGAAACAAAATTGAAATGATTATAAAATATTAAAATTGAATACTTACTGGAAACAGAGCAGGTGCCATGTATGGTTCCATATATTGATAATACAAAGACATAATCTTAACAAGACATTGTAAAGCTGCTACTTTAATTTGTGTATTTGTAGATTGTGTTGCTTCACATACAACTTCCATAATAAAATTCCTTTCAGACTAAAAATATATATTTATTACTCAATGTTCGTTTTTATAAAAAAAATTAATGTCTATATATTTTAATAACTAAAAAAATGAATAAAACAATATAATAGATATATCTATTTCTAATAAATTACTATATTTTCATAAATTTATTTTTTTTTTTGTCTGGTATAAAATGTATTTCAAATATCATTTTAATAAAAAGCAAAAGAATTAAAATTTAAATATGTACATTTTTTTCTTTAAATACTGATTTATAAACATTTATAATTATATAAAGTATTACAGTAAAATAACTAAAAAGATTACATATAGTATTGAACAATCTTTTACAGAAATAAATTTTATATAATTGTAAAATCTTATTGATATGTTCAACATAAAATAATAGAAAATATTTTAGTTTTTAATCATTAATTGTAATCACCTCAATTTCAAAGTTTCCTTTAGTGAATTCAAGAGAATTAAAAAGTGCACTTGTTGCTGCTAAACGAACATGATTAGATGCATTTGATCCTTTCATACCATGTATGATTGCAGTAAGAATCTGATTTGATTGTGCAACAAGCACTTCACTATCTATTTCTTGACAGATGTAACCAATAGCTTCAAGTGTAGCCTCTTTCATCATTTCTGTACTATTTGGATTAGCTACATTATTTACTAGAAGTGGAATTAATTCACTCCATTGTCCAACTGGTAGTTCAGCTACAGCTACGTATGCAACACACTGTGCAGCTGAACTAGGTCTATTATTTTCAGTTCCTAATGCACCTAAAATCTAATAAAATAGAATTTGTTATATATTTTAATCATTCCTTCATTCACATATTTATGCTAAAAATTAATAAGTGTTTATATTTATCAATCTATGACTTATTATATAAATAAACTATTGAGCGAAACAGGCAATAAATTGAAGTTAGTTGTAAAGTAGTTTTTAAAGCTTTATGATGTATATACATAATATATTATTGTCATTATATTAAATTAATATTATATTGTTTTATTTCTTACTACAAAGTAATAAGTATAATTACTTTACTTTCAGAAATTTGAGGATATAGTTAGTTGAAGACCATAGTTCTACTGAGCCACAATAAATCATTATAAATTTTAATAAAGTTAACATATATTATTGTATGCACATTAAAAAAATTAATTTATCAATATTTTTAAAAATGAATGAAAAATTTTCAGCTAATAAATGAAATATGTTGGCATAAATTTTGCTAAAAAAGTAAATCGAACTTTTATTGTATTTGTTCAGTCTATTTATTTTAAATTATAAAATTATAAAATCTTTTTTATGAATTCATTTAATATCATAAATTTAACCACTGATGCATGTGCATATTGTAATTATCACATAATTCTACCTAAAATAAAATTAATTAATTAATCCATTAATTTATTAATTTTTTTAATCCATTAATGTATTTGGATTTTTATCTAATAAAATCTTATAAATACATTACAAACGATAAAAATATATTTTAAACTTTTAAAGAAAATATATTTATTTTATAAAAATTCTTTAAAAAAATTATCTTAAATTTAATAGCTTTAAAAAATCTTCTCTTTGTAACTAAAACTACTAATTCTTTGTAAGAATTTTAATGTTAAATTGTAATAAATATCGAATCCTACAAAAGAATAACTAACCTAATGATAAAAAATCAAATATCACCTTTTAAGTAATATGGATTTTTAATATGAATGTTATAATAAAAGCATTATATTAAATTGACACACAAAATATAGTAATTATAATTAAATGACTACAAAGCAGATATGAAATTTTATCAAAATTTTTTAAATTCGTACAAATATTTAAATAGATGTATACATGTATAATACAAAAAAAACTAATTTAATGTTTATATTATTATTTATGTTTATATTTATATCTATAATGTTTATATTATAAAATATATTTATATAATAAAGAGCTTAACTATATTTACAAAAAAATATTACTGCTGCACTTTTACACTAACTTAAGATGAAAATAGTAACATTAATGTAATTATAAAATCTCAAATAAACAAAAATTTTTATTAAATTTATATAAAATAATTAAAAGAAAAGTAACATTTTTGATACAAGTGTAAATTATTTGCTACCAAATACAACAGAAGATATTCATTTCTTACATTTTTTATAAATAAAATATATTTTCAATTGACTATGATCTAAATAGATATTAAAAAATATTGACAAATGAAATTTTATTTAAAGATTTAAGATATAAAATACATATGAGATAAACATAAAGCTCTTCGGTTGTAGAAATGAAAGTATAGTAAGTAAAACAAATATTTTATATAATATACTATAATTTATAAAATAATTGAAGAATAATGTAGAATACTTAATAAAATATTACAAACTATTTTGTTCTAGATAAATTTCTACCAAAATTAGTTAAACTTACATTTTTCTTAATATATTCTCTTGTTTCTAAAGGAAAAGCAAGCCATCGTTGTTGATATTGAGATTTTAAAGTTAAATCTTTCGAGGTAAGTTGATTTTTCAATTGTAAAGCAGCTGCCATTCGAGCCACAGTACTAGCAGCAGCAGTCATAAGAACACCGCTTAGCCTCTGAACGAATTCATGCTAAAATTTCCAAAATGACATATTTGTTTAACAATTATAGTTTTTATATAAAATAGAAATACTTACAAGATTAGTCAATGCTGCTTGTTCTAAGAAATTCTGGGCTGCTTCCAATTCATTTTTATCTAGGAAGTTATATGATTATATTTAATAAGTACCATAAATACAAATATTTATAATTCATTTTATGCAATCATTATAACTTTAAATAAAGTTGTTTAATATATTACTGTATACATTCATTTTAAAAAACTATTAAAAAATTTTGGTTAATAAATTTTATGATATAATTATGTTAAGATAGTTATCTATAATTTTGATTAAATCAGAATAAATCTATAAATCAGTTAAATATTGTAAAAGTATAATATTATAAAATTGGAATGTATGTAAAAAACAGATAAATAAAATATAAGGATTTAATACTAGGTGTTTGTACCACCTTGTGGTATATTACATAGTCTTTATGAGCAATTTAATATTACTGTGGTTTGGCATACATGCAAGATTATTATATAATAGTTTTATTCATAAGTCCAATAAAAAGTTTTGAAATACAACACATAATGAAACCTACATATGTAAATATATATGTAACTGTATACAAAATTGAAGTTTTCCACTGCATCAAAGTTAATTTATTAGGTCTTAAAGTTAAATTCTTGATAAATGAATTCATAAATAAACCAAACAACGTTAAAAATAATGAAAAGAATTTATTTATATTAGTAATCTTTAGTAAACTCCTATATACATTGTAATGTTGTTTTCTTCCATACAAATTTTTGATATAATCCAAATATCACATTTATTTTTTTATAATTTTAAAAAATGGCTAAATACCCATTGTTTTTCCATAAAATTTGATTTTCATTGAATATATTTTTATACTTTTCTTAATATTTTAGATTTTAAGAAACTTAAATTTACTTACTCTTGCATATAGTAAATAACTTTTAAAAAATGTATTTATTAATTTTGATCATTTGTATAAGATTCAAAATTGTAAGTACCTTCACATTTTATTATTATAACCACCTACATAATTCATGCATTGAACATTATATAAATTTACACAGTATTCAGAATTTTTATTGCATTATAAACTTTATACAAAATAAAGAAAACATACATTATTTAGAATTTAATATTATAGATAATCTGCTTATTTAATTAACAAATGAAATTGATATTCAATTTTTTTTGTTTATTTTAAAAATTATATTCATAATTTCTTATTAAATATATCTTGCTTTCTTACTTTAATCTATGTATATCTTAACCATGTATTTTGAGGTTCTTGAAAAGTGGGTTTAATAAGATCATTAATAAATAATGTAAAATATTAGACATAGAATTTTATTCAAAATCTATGTGTATCAAAACATACAAACATTTCAAATATAATATTGAATTAATATTATGAATAAAAGTTCTGCTATATTAAAGGCAAAAAATAATTTTGAATTTTAAACTATTAATAGTTTAAACTAAAAAAATTTATTGATTCTGTTACTTAAAAAATCTTCATCAAAGAAAACTAATAAATAATTAATCAATCACGTAATGCAATACCATATTATAATTGTTTTTTAATAATTTTATTTTTTACAGATTTATGAAAACCTTTGGAACTCAACTTCATAATAATCTACTGCCTTATATATATAATTATAAAAATTTTCAGGGAGCTGATGCAACATGAATTAGAAGCAAAATAAAATTATATTTCATGTAAATATCTTTTCAATTATTAATTATAATTAATTATAATCCTATTAATGGAGTTAAACTACTATTTGTCAATAAAATACTTGATACATAATAATTCGAATAATTTTTAATAACAAAGTTTTAATATTTAAATATATATATCTTTAATAGCATTTTACAAAATAATATTCAATGTAATCATTTTCATAGAAAACTTTATGGTACAATAATAAAATAATTAAAAAAGCAACTTTGATTATAATTCAATAGGAAAATTTTTAAAAGATTTTAATATTTAAAAGTGTACTATATTAATTAAAAATGATAATTATACTAAATATATATTTAATTATTTTTAATATAAAAAATTAAATAAAACTTTTTTTTATCCAAGTATGGGTACTATTTTTTATTATAACAAGAAATCATATATTAAAAATGTTTAAACTTATTCATGAATTCATACTTAATTTTGTTTTTTCTTAATAGTTATTGCATTAGATATCCAAAAATTAATAAATATTGTCTGTATTCATTTGATTAATATCCTATTAAAATATAAGCTAATGATTAGATTGTATGACTTATCTTCATACCCTATTTAATAAGATTTATTTCATTTATGGGTAGATAAATTAATAAATAAAATCATTAAAAATAATAATAAAAATAATTTGTCTACAACTTTTACTTTGTTAAAAAAAATTATAATTTAGACCAAAGTTATTTTATATTTATTACTTAAAATAGTTTGAAAAGTGTTAAAATTATTTATTTATTAATACTAAAATATTTGTATAAATTTTTTTAAATTTCATTATATTAAATAAAAAAAATTTCTTTTATGTTGGATATTTGAAACCATGGAATCATTTCTGTATCATTGTTTTAAAAATTAAAATTTAACATATAAACATTAGAATCCTTGAATACAACTTTTATTACCTGACATAATAAATTCATAATTTTCAAAAACGATTCCATAACTGATAATTAAATTTTTGTTTATTTTGTAAATTTGCTACACAATTTAAAGGATTATAAATATAAACATCAAAAATACTGACTTATATCAATTATACTTAAATTACTAATTATACATATATTGGTACATTAATAAAGTAAAATAATACTTAATATATTTTTACTAAAAATAATTTTTGTAATATATATCAATATTAATAAATCAATAAGATATTTTTATTATAAGATATGATATAAAATTAATATAAAATAGATTTATATCAATATAAATTATATCAATCATATTAATGTTAATTTTTTTTTTAATTTTCATCATATATAAAGTTAAAAAAAAACTTTTGATTTATCTACATTAAACAAAATAATTATATTACTTAGAATAAAATTGTCTTGAATTCATTACATAGTTCTATACCAATTGAATTCAATAATTAATGAAATTTAAGATAATTTTATTTAATGTATTTTAAAGATATCAGTAATCATTTACTCTATAAATCAATAATTTACAATTCTGATTCTCTAATAACTTAACTCTCAAAACTAATTGGCTTTTTAAAGTATAAATATATAAACTCGCATCCTAATAAACCCTAATAAATAAATTTTTATAATTTTATAAGTAATTATATAGATGTTTCAAAAAGTAATCATTACCATTTATTTCAAAATAATTTATATAATAAATAATGTCATACAATCGTGTTTTTAAATTATAAATTAATTCAATGCATTAAACCTAACCTGTTTTTATTTTCATGGTATAAAATATTATTGAAAATTTTTGTTTGTAGAATATTATTTATTTTAATATAAATAGAAATTATTTTATAATAAATTAGAGTGCCTATCTTCTACTTAATTATAACCTACTATATAATAATATAACATATAATAATAAACATATAAGTAAATAATATTCTATACAACAAAAATATGTTCACTAAATTTGTCTTATAAATATTATTTTCCTCTTATATAATTAACAAATTAAAATGAATTTTTAAACAAAATTATTATTTTAAATATAAATATTATCACAATGAAATTGAAATAAAATTAGAAAATGTCCTAAGAATTTCAAAATTTACACAAATGAATTCATAAAAAGCTACAAATATTTAATATTCATACCTATTCAAATGAATGTCTATATTTGAAGCACATGTAAATATATACACACACACACACATACACATATATACATTGTATAACCGTATATTGTTAATAATATATAATTTTTCATGACTTTTTCCAAATCGTTATAAATTGTTATTTTTATAGAAAAGATATAATAATATGAAACAGTACCGATACTTATGCATGCTGTTTATAAAACTTCATTTCACATTAAAAACTAACCTGGTGAAACAGTCTTTTCGAGAATTTGTATCAATTGTAGTGTAGTGGAATCCATTTATATAATTTTACAATTATCAAGGAACCAGCACGATCCTTCAATAAAGTGGATATTTCTTTAATTTATTTTAACTTTATTAAAATATAAATAACAAAATTAAACAAAGATATAAAGCTTAAAAAAATTATTGTAATTTTTGATTCTAGTAAGAAATTAAGAAAAAAATGTTCATTTATGTAAATAATACACCTTTAACCTCACGATTCAATAAATAAATTTTCTTCGGAATAATCTATTATAAGTCTTCATTTATGATGATTTTTTTCTACAAGAACTAAGAATCAATTAATTTTTCTGGTACATTAATAGTATACTAGAATTTAATTTCGTTGCTTTGACCTTGGTCTACCATGAAATGATACAAATATAGAATATATTCGTATATGATTATTGGTACGACTGTAGCAGCATTAAAATAATGATTATTTGAGATTGATTTAAACTACATACAATTTACAACCGTAAATATAGGAAGTTCAAATTCAAAAAGTACTTTTTATATTTGTTTACTTTTAATTATTGCTAAGAATAAAATAATTTCATATTTATATATATTGAAAATATAAAAGTAAGAAAAATGGATGTATATTTATAATTTTGATATTAGCACATAATATATACGGAATAAAAAGTAATAAATAAAAAAAAGTGAAAGTAATAAAAATTAAGTAATATTTTATAAATATATTGTAAATTTGAAGGATTAAATTATATATATTAAATAAACTCCTATTAGTACTGTTAAGTTTATTTAATATATCTAAATGTTTGATAAATTTAATATAAATTTAAAATGAAATATATAATTTTTAATACGCATGCGCCTACTGTAATTAATTGATATTCTATTGTTTGAAAACACTTAAATATTAAATTAATTTTGTATCATTCCGTTTGCTGAAATTTATAGATTATATTCTAACTAAATTACTAGACCATTCATATTTACGATTTAAAATATACTTAAGAATTTTTTCAAATAAACAATTCCAAAATTTACGTTAAAATCCACATTTATTATTTATGAATCTAACTAATATTATTTTAATCCCATTTTTCAACTAATTCAATATTAAGATTTTAAGGTTTCCTTAAAACAAATAGATTTTATTGATAATATAGTGCTATAAAAATACTTATTATTAAATATGTATTATAAAAAGTAAAAACTATATTTTTTATTATATGTAGAATACAAATACTGTCTGGGATCAGATTAAAGCTTCCCTGAGATGTTGAGGGGAGGCTTGCTGGCAAGTGGAATGGACAATGCAATAATTCAACACGGCCTCTGTATGAGTTGATTTTCCTTTATTTGGTGTAATGATATATTAAATAATCAGTGGTCTATTGAGGTGAGATTGAAAGTAGGATACAATGAATAGGTGAGAGTTTCTTTAGGTAATCAGTGATAATAATCTTGTGAGTCTATTCTTGGTGTAGCGCGCGATTCTCCTACTCGTGGTTGTGATTCGTAGTGGTAGAGGGAGATGCGCTGATGAAGGGTCTTGACGCCGCCGATTGCCGCTACCCATAAGCTGATGAGGCCTCTGGGGCGCTGTGAGAGGGAAGCGTTGCTGTGACGTCACTTTTGATGGGCAATGATGCCCTTATCTTGATATGCTGCTTGCTTGGTTCGTGTGTTGGTGATCCGTAAGAACGTGTGTAATAGCGTACCTTACGTGTGTTGAAGTCGGTCTCAGTTGGATTGATGGTACGTAAGAACGTGTTTAATAGCGTAGCTTACGTGTATTGGAGATAAATTCTGTGCACGTGGAGTTAACTTGTAGAATGGCGATTCGATCTTGATGACTGCTTGGTGGAACTAGTAAGAGGACGAGAGCGTCAAGCGCGTCTCCTTAAATATTATCGTACAGGCTTGTGATTCCAGTGAATTCTAAATTGCTCTTGTTATGCCGGTAACATCAGTAGAATCTAGCCTTGGAGAGTTCGTCGGCCCTTGCTAGTCGGAATTGTAATGTAAATTTGACTATTTGAGTATTGAAGTTTCCCGATTTCGGAGAATCGTGTTTACGACTTGGCGCGCAATATTTTGATCTAAGCAGGTGTCTTTACCTCTCCCACTTTGTTTACCGCGTAAATGCTGCAATCCGTAACATTCTGCCCGCCATCATCAATTCATTGATGATTGATATCTGTATCTTCGATCGGAACTGGCAGAGGTGCAAGAATGTGAATTGGTCTAGAGATTATCTGGTCTTGTTTTGTTGACGTTTGGATTCCTTGTGTGTTTGTCATTGTCATTTTCTAGTGCTTCCATTCTTGTCATTACAAATTGATCAAATTTTTCAAACATTGGATATGAATAGTCTTCTAGTGTTTTGCTCCCAGACTGTTACTACTTGTTCGTCTAATTGTAATAATGTCAGATGTAGTAGTAGTGCGTCCCATGCGTACCTAACCCACTTTGTTTACCGCGTAAATGCTGCAATCCGTAACAAATACAATGTGGTTAAATTTTTAAATGCCTCGGAATATTACTATTATTGATATCATTGATTTATATTAAGTTTAGTTTTTATAAAAACCAGCATATAAAATCAATTATATCTTCATATTTTCTGAATTTAATTAATAATACTTGTACTAATAACAGTTAATGCTAATATTAATCATTTTAGTTATTCATAAATATTTACAATTAATATATCCAGATATTTATTACAGGTATTAATAGTGAAAAATACATTCAATCATTATTATATTATTTGTAGAATTATATGGTATCATTTTTAATAATAATTAATATAAAAATAAAAATTTAAATTCATAAATTTTCAATATAAAATTTAAACAAATTATTATAACGACTGTACAGCTGTATATTGCATAAAAGTATTAACTAAATGGATTATTAATCTATACTATGATCTCACCTAATACTGAATTAGTATTAGCAGATAACAATATATATATTATTCTTTCCTTAGTACTTAATATAGAATATACATGAATAATTTATTTACAAATTTGACATATTGCGTAGTTCTATTCGCATAAAAATTTAAATATTTTTATTTGAAAAAATAACATGAATTATGTAGCGAAAGTATATTACATAATTGCGTAAGTAGGATGCATACATACGTTTTCATTATTTACTTGTTATATTCACTTGTCACGTTTTGCATAGTTATTATAACGGTTATAATACTAACTCAAATAGGGTAAAATCCTGCTTTTCAATTAAGAATCTATATCCTTCGATTTTTATCAGAAGCGCGTAAATTCATATAAAAAAGGTTACTTATCACTTGCTTTATATTTAAAATTAATTAAATGATTCGTTGGCAGTTTGCCACAGAACTTTTTATTATTAATAATGTTCCTATAGTCCTTTATGTTTCTTCCAAAATAATATTGTGATGTGCATTTATTAAAATAATAGATAAGCATATTTTTTAAAATTTTAGTATTTATAAAAAAAACAATTGTTAGAAATTTCAAACAAAATTTTTATTAAACTTAAATTTACAAAAATGCATAGGTTTTACAATATATTATTTTTTCATGCAATACTTAGTATTCTTTACTGTTTTTTTCAGTTGAAATATTTATAATGAATATTTCTTCATTTATATTATATATATTTTATCAATTATAAATTCAATAAATATTTATTTATTGTAATTTCATTAAACTTCTTACAATATTACAACACATTATTGTAGTTATTTCATTAACTAATTATTTAAAGATTTAACTCATATTTGTAGAAGCAGTTTTCACTGAATATTACATTGAAAAATAAAATTCTAAATTTTATAAATGGAGCTGGTATCAATTGTTTCAAATATATTTATATATTTTAATTATTTGAATATAGTATTATCTTTATTTTTAGAACATTTTACCATCTTCCATGTGATTGGTAACACTTACTAATTTTGTTAATTTTTTTGATAGGATTTTTCGACATGCTCGATAATCATAGGTTATTAACTTTTGATGCTTTATGCAAAGATACTTGTACGCACTTGCTAATCTATTAATATCTTCTACTGTTAGATTGAATGCTGGAGTTTTTGGATCTACATCAGCTAATTTAAACATTACCTTTGATAAATGATCTCGGCAATCCGGAGGAAACAGTGTTCTTTAAATAAAAGAAATATTTATTTTAAATTTTCTTATACAGACTATTTAAAAAATAACATATTTTATTATATTAGAAATACAGCTTCTAATTGTCAATATGAATTAAAGATTGGTGTATTTTATTGGGTGGGACATACTATGTATAATATATAGAATACTAAGTTTCGTTTATTCAAAAGAAATCAATTAAGCAATTTAAATATAATTTTATCATTATATTTATCGAACTATTTGAAAAATTTAAGAATTTAATATTAGATATTTCTGAAACAATATTAATATGTAAAGTACATTATTTTGTAATAGTTAATATTTATTAATAATTAAATAAGATTGTATGTATACTTTTTTATGTTAGGAAGTTTCCAGTTCATAACAATAAAAAGTTTTGTCATATTTAAGTAAACTTTAACCTTTTATTTATAAAATGCAATTATATTAAAATTGAATCAAATAATGACTTTGAACTGAACAGTTGAATAAAATAATTATTTTATTTGATTAATAGAGCTGTAGTTCATATTTTGAACAACTATATCTATTGAGCGAGGCTTGCGTTAAGTCTATCGTTTGCTTTTCATTTTTATCCTTTTTGTTTGCTGGTAATTTAATTATGTAAGTTGGCTTATTTGTTTCATACCGTCAATTCATTCATTCATCAATTCATATACATTTTCAATGTATATTCAATTTTAGAATAAATTATTTTGTATTAAAATCTACAAATTTATTACAAGTTATTAAGAGAGTTTATTTATAAGATTAATTTGTCATTGAACTATTCAGTTATCGCAAGAACGACCATTCTTACATTTATTAAATGATTTGATAAAATAAACAGTCTACAATAAAATTTGTAAGAATTATCAAATTTATATTTAAGGTATTTAAAATAAAAGATTTTTATAAATTACTATAACATTGAACTTGTTAAAAAATGCTTTTATTAATTCGGTACATTTTTCACAAATGTATACGGTAAGCTAAGTAAATTAAAAACAAATTCATTATTGTGCCAACATGCAAAAAAATTTTTACTTGTTAATCATTAAAAAAAAGTAAAAAAAGAAAGTGACCACTCTTTCTTATTAATAAAACGTTAATTTTTTTACATCATAGTCTCGTATTGATCATTAACTTTTATATTGAACCACTGTGTAGAATGCATTTAAGGATCTACCTATTCTATTATTGTACAAATTTGTTTATTAAAATAACTATTAAGCACACATAGACTAAATAAGATGTAAATATAAAAATTCTTCAATTAATAAAATTTTTATTAAAGGAATAGAATTAAATTTTCAATGAAAAATTCAAATCTACATATTAGTATATATTATAAATAAATATTTAATATGAGCTAGCTATTTCACATAAACTAATGCAAATGTAATTCTAACAATGCAAGAAATACAAATATAACACTTTTAGTAATAACCAATAAACCAAAAAAAAAATATATATATATATATATTCATACTTAATTTGTTATCATTTTAAAATTTATCTTGTAACACTGTTACATGTTGTTATACTCATATTTTAATAAAATTAGGAATATATCTATATTAAATATAATTAGGAATATAATATATTTTGAGGTTATGACTTATTAAAAAACAAGTTTGCTTAAAATAATTGATAAAAATAATGTTGTAAATTGTTATATATATGATTTTAATATTTTCTATATTTAATAATCATTTATTAAAGATGTTTTCCTTACTAAATTAAAGACAGATTTTGTAACTTGTAATATATCAAATTATAAGTAAATATTAATACCAATGTTAATATTTTAAAGTTCTGTGCTTTTTTTATTATAGCTGATAAAGATAATATGTATTCTATACATTAATGATCTATTTTTATAAGAATTTTATCTTAAGTTCATAAAATATTTATAAACATAAATGAAATAAGTTTTATATTTTTATTAATAATTAAAATATTATGAAGATAATTACCCAGCACATTTAATACAATGTTTTTGGCGAAAACTAAATAAATGACGATTAATTTTTTCAAAAAAATTAAAATTATGATTTGTACGTGGTATTTTTAAAGGAATAAATGAAACCACTCCAACATCAACCTGGGGCTTTGGTACAAACGCTCCACCTGTAAAATAATTTCTTAATTAAATTTTTCACTAATTACATATAAATGAAATAAAATTGCATACCAGGTATAATAAATCTTAATTTTGGAACTGTAAATGCTTGTGCTATAACTGATAATCTACATCTTTGATTCTGTGATACTTCAGCAACTAAACGTTCTGCTACTTCTTTTTGAAATGTTAAGGTCATTTGAACTCTACCATTAGACCACATTCCACTTTTTTCTGATATTTCATGTAAATATTTTATAATAAGTGCAGTTGAAACATTGAAAGGTAAATTACCAACAAGAAAAATATTAGGAGTTTCGTCTTCCCAATTTCTTTTCTTTGCATCATTGAATACAGTTTTTGTATCAACATCCATTATATCATTATAAATGATTTTCATATTGCCATTACTTGTGGTGACTGCATCTTTAAGCATATCTAAATTAGGTTTGAATCTTTTATCCTTTTCTACAACTACAAGTTGTTTTGGAAATTTTTTTATAATTGATCTTGTGATGGTACCAGGCCCAGGACCTACTTCTAAAACTTGAGAATCATATATTTTACCCGTATATTTTATAATTTTATCTGTTAATCTTTCATCCATTAAAAAGTTCTGTGACAATTGTTTAATAGCAGAGAGACGGTAAAGTTTTATAATATCACTAATTGTTGGAAGTGGTGGTAATCTGATTGATGCCATTCTTTTAAAAGTATAATTTATACGTGGGTAGTATTAGTAAAAAAATTTTAGATTCTAAAAAAATAATAAACTAATAATCATGCAAATATCTAAAAATATTGTTATTAATCATAAATCTTTTCAGGTTCATTAAAATCATTTAAGAATTTTTCTTGTTTAATGCCCCACATAGTATATGAATATATAGAAATAACACCAAGAGTTAATCCAATCCCTAAATAACGATTTTTACAGCGCATGTTATTCCATCTTTCTACTCTACGTAAATTTTGTTGTTGTATCTGCTGCATATACTTCTTTTCAATATTACTAAGTTTATGACAATCAGTTTTTAAGTTAACCTTTGGCATACATTTTCCATCATCCATCATTAAATACTGTAAATTAAAAAAAATAAAATTGTATTGGTATTGTAATTTAAAAGTTCGTTTGAATTTATAACCTTATGAAATTTATTTAAGAATTTATCCTATTCATATGCTTGAATACAAATATATTTATAAATATTTGAATAAATAATTTTAAAAGTTCAAATTTATTAATTATATTTATAAAAAAATTGACTTACGTATCTACAAATCGATAAATTTATTTTATTTTTTTTATTATATTGACCCAATTGTAGTTAGTTTATTTAATTCTACTTAGTTTTATTCTAATCTTAAATTGAAAAGTGAAGATAATACGTTAAGAAAGCCGAATTAATGCAAACTAGTTCGTTTTTTGAGACACGAATACATCAGTAAAACATTCATTTTTATTTTTGTTACATTTATTATAATATACAACTACTAAAATATAATTAATCATAATAGTTCGATTATATAATAAAACCAATTAATATATTTACATATACAATTTCAAACAAAAAATAAATATTTTATAATAAATGCACCATAATCTACCATAAATATTTGTTATGTAATCTACATAACTACGTTAAAATAACCTATACAAAAACTTGATAAGTTTAGATTGTCATAGCGCACGAGATAATAAAATTTACATATCCTGTCATGATCAGTGTTGTATAAATAATTTCGAATTTTCATTAGAATTAAGAAAATATAATAATTTTGAATTTTGCCATAATAAATATTTTAAATTAAACAAAATAAAAATTTTATATAAGATGTATGTAACTTGAATATACATACATGTTTTTGTTGAATAAATATATATTTTTATTATATAGCAAAATTTAGTTATTTATATTTATACCTTTTATATTTATCTACAATACATTTTCCTTTATGGTGACAAGGAGAAATAATTATTTCCCTCTAAGCTGCATTTGAATGAATCTTGTATGATCAATTATTAATTTGCTCTTATAAAAATATTTCTTTTCTCTAGAGATATTTATTATCGCAGTTCTTCGAAGTCAAATTAATACAGTACATTTTCATATTATTTAAAATTCGTTGTTACTTTATTATTAATCGTTTCAATATTACAATTAAATGATATTAATTAGGTTATTCACTAAGAAGATAAATTGTGAATAATTTTCTACTCCAATTAAATATATATCAAAATTTGCACCATTTACACTTTGAAATGACAATAAAATTTTTTTTATAGTCAGACATATTTCAAAGTCTTTAATTTGATATTTCCGTATTCAACTGTTTTATTTTCAATTATTATATATTATAATCAATTTTTATGATAATTTATGAACATATGACCTAAAATGAAATTTTAATTATAACTTTAATCGATTAAACAAAAAATTTATAATTCAAAAGAAGCGCAAACAGACTTAAAATATTTAATTAAATAAAATTCCCTAATTCCATATTTATTGAAGATCAGTGATTCCATCGTTATAAACAGCACTTAACAATATCATCGTATTTTTTTGAAATGTAACCTTAATATATTATAGAATAAGATTAGAATTAATATTGTTTATCGATATAATATTGAATCGATTTTTTTTATATATTTCTTAATGTATTATTAATCAATTATCTATTTTTAAATCGATATACAATATTCTGAAATATTTGATGGGAAGCAATGAATTTTATTGTCTTTCTAAACTAAATTATTTTTTTTTCTAATTTGAAAAAACATTTACTTAAAATGATGATTTTTCTATTGTACTATTTGAAATTCATAATAGATTATATTGAAATTTTTAATTAAATATGTATTTTTGGTTATCCTGCAATTTCCTATAATTTTTTTAGAAATTAAAACATGCACATATTTTTGTCAAAAAAGTTGTAATAACTTTGAAAAACAAAAATAACTTTAATGTAGAAAATAATACAATGTTTTAATTATAATTAAAAAAATTAATATTATTCTACATAAATTGACATCATTTATTAATGTGTAGATACATCCATATATATCTGCAATCAACTATATTTTGCAACAATTGATTTATTTATATTTTGAATCAGTTAAAAAAAAGGTAAAATATGGTACATGTATGCAGAAATGGTTGAATATAATATTATTGTATACAGTGAAGATCACACATGTATTTTAAAATTGTTCTTATTGGAATGCTAAGTGTGCTATGTTTTAAAAATATATTTATATCCTGTCATACCAGAAAAAATAGCTTGTCCTTTTAGTTATCTTTTATAACTTTATATAAGATTAGAATTTATGAATCTGTAAAATGTCAAATAATCTTAAATTATTACAATTATCTTCATTTTACCTGCATATTAAATTTTTTAAAAATATTTACTGTATTATACTTACTTAATAGTTAAATTAATAATTTGATTATATTAAATTTAACTTTAAAAATATTAAATTTTTAAAGGATTTGAAACTATTTTTACTTTTTTATTAATTTGAAAAAATTATAATTTATAATGATATAAGTATTTTCAAGTATACAAATGAATTTATTTTTTATAAACATGTAATTAATTTTCCAACAAAAACTATTTTTTGTTGTCCTAATTCTAAATTAATAGTTTTAACATTATGATGATTATCAACTTTAAAATTATGTTCAATGAAAAACCTTCCTTTCCCAAAAATTTATATATTAAATAAGAAAATTCAGTAACTTATGAACTAAATATCTAAATTAACTACATTTTTAGTTTAATTTGTCTTTTTATAATTGTAAATAAAATAAATTAAGTTATCTTAATTATCCATTTTTAATACCTACATCTTAATAAAATGTTGTAATTTATACATATGTATGGTTCTAAAATTTTTTAAATAATTATGATTTGATGATAGGAAACATAAAATATGTAAAAGTATTTCTTATCTTAATCAAATCATAATCAAATCTATAAAGATAAAATGTGAAATTATAAAATAAACAATAATATTGTAATAATGTTATTCCTCATAAGTTCTGCATACGTATACAAAAAATACTAAATAAATATAGAATGGGTAAAGGACTGAATAGCCCTAATTTTGAAATTTGCTACTTTCAATTTTAAAAACTATTTATAATTCTATAATAAATATATTTTAAAATATTAACTAAACAAATAATACTTGATAGAAAATAGATATGCAAAACTACTCCCTTGCTTAACACAAAATAATATGCATTTTAAATATAAAATTTATAAATATAAAATATGATACATTTCAATTTTTTTTAAAAAATCAACAGAAATTAATATGTGTAATGATAATTAAATATGTAATAATTGTGAATAGAAACTCTGATGCATAATTAATGAACAATAATAAAGAATAATAATAATAATTCAAATAATTATTAGTATATAAAATACAGAAAAAAAAATCAGTAACATTTTTTTAATCAATCACTTACATTACTATTTGATGTCTATTTTCATCATTTGGAATAATAATAATACAACTAATAAAAATATCTAAAACATTCCTAATACTATTTTTTAATTTCTTCTATTACAAAAACTAAAATATACTTATAGCAACATTGTATAGCAAAATTTTATCTATCAATAAATAATGTTTTATTAAGAATTTAAATATGAGTATATATATATATATACTTATATTTACAAATATATAATTAATACATATAAATATTACACTTTTATGTACCAAATATTATCATTCTCTAAGTAAAAACTAAAAAATGTGTTAATTTACTTTTAATCTTGTAAATTAATGAATTACAAGAACACATATATGATATAAATTAATTTGAACTATAACTTACATAAAATTATAACAAATATTTCGTTTCAACAAAAAACTTATTTTATAATGTAAATAAAATAATAAAAAGACCACAACGATAAATGATCACTTTTATTAGTTGAAGTTACAATTCAAATTATCAAGTATTTTAATTAAATTAAAAAGTTAACAATTCTAATTTTGTTCAATGTATTTGAAAGACTGTTCTTGCAATTTAAAACAAAACAGCAAGAAATCGTTCCTTTATATTAAAATATTGAATTACTAAATATTAGTTTAAACGTATTTTTCGATTATAGAATACACTATAAATTAATTAGTGATTTGTCTAAAACAATAAAAAATAAAAATATTACTGATCCTACCTTCTTCTATGTGAATGTCAATTTATGGTTGTATATGAGGTATAGTACAGTAACATTCACATTGTATCAATAACTCACTTTTGCCATGCTCCTGTTTATCAGCAATTATCTTGTTAGCTACAAAATCTACTTATAACAAAAAATTTTTTCTTTCAATGCAAATTGCTTTTATTATCCATAGTTGAAACTAATACTTTATATTACAGTTTCTTATATTAATAGCAGGGGTTTACTTGTATTATAAAGTATGTTTTAAATTTATTATTTGAACGTGGTCACTTATTTATATTTATTTCGCAATATATTTCTGTATATTATATTTGCTATGTCATATTTCAATACATTTCTAGGCAAGATGATTTTCATTTGACTTATATTTATCAAAGCAATCGTATTTTTGCTCAATATTATTTTAATCACCAAATTATTATTTATTTTATTATAATTTATGTTAATTTAATTAATTATATATAAAATTGTCTAATAAATTTTAATTTCTGCGTCTTCTAACACGAGAAATTCTCCAAGCATTTGGTTCTTCATATTTATTATATAGTGGCTCAAGTCGTTGATTTTTTTTAAATTTACTTAATTTTGTAGGATCACTAAATTTAAAAAATGCTGGTGCGAATTCAACAAGCCATTTTGGATCAATTGTTGTCACCTCTCTCATATATTCTTTTGTTGTTTGTACTAATTCATGGTATATTACCTATAAATATATGATTTAATTAGTATATCTTATAAATCTGAATACAATTTCTTTTAAATAATATAAATTTTTTTTTAATATAATTATATAATAAAGAATTTTTCCATTATCATATGTAAAAAGATAGTATTCAGCGCTTACTAGTAAATGGACTCGTATACAATGTTTACATTTTGTTTAAAAAAAAGTCCGTTATTAAAAATAAAAGACAAAAAATGTGGGTATTTGTTTTTGTAATAGAGAATTTAAATGGATGAAACTGAAATTACAAGTTATTATTAGTTGATTGATTTTCTGGATTTTAACATAAATATCATTATTGCATTTATTGGTACTGAATATCTACTGTTCATCAATCAGCATATTCATCTTGAATTTGAAATATAATGTTAATTATGAAAAAATTAAAAATTGGTTTACAGAATTAAGGATTAAAGTCAAAATATCCAATTAGAAATTTCCATTATTATTGCGAGATAAACTGTAAAAAAAATAAGTAGAATAATAGATAGAGTATACTATGAAAAAATACATCAATACTATGAGTGCATTTTTTGTCGTAACAATAGAGGAAATAAAAGTATATTGATGTTACAACTTTTCTTAATGTTAGGATAAATTTTTCGTAATATACAATATTTAGATAAAAATAAAAAAATTTTTATGTTCACTTCATATTTCCGTAATTATGGCTGATTAATCCAACAAATTAATGTACCCATTACATTATAAATCTCATTAGTGCAAATGTAAGTTTACATTTAAATGTTTCACAATCATTTATCAGTTTAAAAATTCTATGTATTTATCCTACAAATAAAAAATGTTTGTGAATATATAGATACATACAAGTTATTTAAAATATTATAAATAGCATAATTTTTTAAAATAGCCAATGTAATTTGCACATATTTGTAGCCTGATTTTTAAAAATTTAAGGGATTTAAAATAGAACATAGATATAATATATTTATAAGGTTAACAATTTCTTGACTGCGGTTAGTCTTTTATCTTAAACATAGTTTTCTTATGCTATTATAGATGTCCATTCTTTACTAATATCAGATGTTTCAAATCGTTGCAATACTGACTCATAATGTTCTATATACACATTTAAAAAAAAAGAATAGTTAGTCTTTACTCTAATTGTTTACTTAATATAAAATTTCAGAATTTTAGGAGATACTACGATTAAAAAAATATGAAATATTTTATTAATATAAGCATAAAAAGTGAATTATAATTATTTGATCATTGAGGATATATATATTTTGAATAAATTACTCTTATAAATCTAAAAAATAATTAAATTTTAATGCAGATGTTTTTTTAAATAAATATTACCTTTAAAATTTTTTTTAATTTAATTGTTTTTACTAGATTTAAAAAATACTAACCCATTCAGGTTGTCTATTAAAAAGAGCGCTACTTGGATGAATATATACAACTTGACTATCAACAAGAGTACGATATCCTTCTTGTGGATCTTTTTTAGCAGCATTTCTAAAAAAACCAGAACATACAGCTTTTTGTATTCGAACAATATTTTTTCCTGCAAGTTTGTGTCTGCGAAATTATAAAATGAACTTAAAATATGACTACATATTTATATATTATATCAATTATAATTATATAATATTTATGTGTTTTGCACCTATCCATAATACCCAATAACTGTTTACGAACATCTTGGGCTCTTTTAAGAGTTCGTATTTGTACAAAATTTTCATAGCACCAAGCATTACTAAATTTATTATTTCTCCATGAATTGTAAACAGCAAGTAATGTTAAATGATCACCTTCTGCTTGATTAAATTTAGCCTTTTTTTGATCAGCTAAAGATTGCTTATCTTTTGGTCTATAACAATATTTTATTTTGTATCATTTTAAAATGTAAAAATATAACAAATAAATGAATATATAAAATCAGATTTACCTATAAAAAACATTTTGAACGGATAACATACTGACTATTGTTAAAATTTCATCAGAACATTGTAAATGAACACTCATAATAAGCATTTTGGATAAATTTGGTTCTAAGGGGAACTCAGCCATTCTCCTACCAAGACGAGTTAAAAGACCTTCATCATCAAGAGCACTAAGGCTATGTAATGATTCTAAAGCCATTATAAGAGATTCAACAGGTGGGGCATCCATAAAATCAAAGTGTAACAAGTCATTAATACCCATTGTTTTTAATTGTAGCACAGTTGTTGCTAAATTTGTACGTTGGATTTCTGGAACTGGTGTTGGCAGCATCTCATCTCTGAAATATATGTTTCTTTATTTTAAAAATACAAAATTAAAAACTATAAATTAAAAATATAAATTCCAATTAATTCAAAAGTTTGACCTGTATGCTCTTTCCGTATATAATCTATAGCATTTACCAGGTCCAGTTCTACCAGCACGTCCAGCTCTTTGTTTAGCTGCTGCCTGGCTAATAGGAGTAACAATAAGACTATCCATTCCAGTTTTCGAATTATAAACCTTTTGCTTAACAAATCCTGGATCAACTACATAATAGATACCATCAATTGTCAAACTTGTTTCCGCAATGTTTGTTGCAATAACCACTTTGCGTGATCCTGGTGGTGCTGGTTCAAAAATTCTTGTTTGCATTTCTGATGGTAAAGCTGAGTAAACTGGAAGGATTATTAATTCTGGTACATCAGGTCCAAGTGATTTCATACGCTCATAAAGAATTTCACACGCTGTATCAATTTCCTCCTGTCCAGTAAGAAATAATAATATATCACCAGGTGGTTCTCGAAGGTGAATTTGCATTACTGTTATAAGTGCAGCATCTAAATAATCTGTTTCAGGCTCCTTTGTGTACATTACCTTAAAAAATATAGTAATTAATTATGATATATAAATATATATATATATATATATATATTTAAAACATTTACTTTTATTTAATATGTTTTAAATAATAGTATTTAACTTTATTTTTATTTTCGAAAGAATTGATAGTACTGTTTAAAATTAGGAATATAAAAAAAGTATCTAGGAATATAAGAAAAGATATCAATTAAAATGATCGAGCAGTTAAGCTACATGAACAATTGATCATCATTAAAGACTACATAAAACTATTAAATATAAAATCAATTGACATGTCCCCAAAATATGAATAAACAAATACCAAATTATCTATATGATTGCAATTAAAACAAGGCATGTATAGTAAGAAATTATAAGAATAAAAACTACAAGCTGTATATCAAATAGAATGCCTAAAACAAGTAACATAAATTTTCAACAAATATGCAATATTCTAACCTTTATTCAATTTAACTTTGTATAATTTATTACTTGATTTTAAATGTAACTGATGTTATTAACTACTTAAAATTTCACAGTATAATGACTCAATTTAAATTTATATCTTTTATTAAATTATATAGTTTGAAACTTTCATAATAAGATTAGTTTAATTGTCAAAAAACTTAGATATTTATGGTAATTTTTCAAAACTACAGTGAAACTAAAAAAATTATAAATTTATATGAATTCAATACAGAACAAAATATATCACATATAAAAAATATATTTTACATATTTATTCATTTTAATAGTATTACTTTATTTACCTACATAAATGACACTATGAAATTTTAAATTTACAAAAATAATTGTTTTCATAAATATGTTAATTTTTGTTTTAACACATTTTTAATTCTATTAGCACATAATCAGTATACATTTTTCCATTATTTAACATTTTCATTTATACTTTATACTCTTAATACAGTGACAGAAATTCAAAGCCATGGTAGGCATGTTATATGATAGACAAGTTAAACTGATATAAATGGATATAATTGAGTTAAGTTATAAGTTATAATTAAAATACAATTGACTTTTAAATTAATTGAAATTTCTAAATATTTTAAGATTCCACCATATATTTTTGTTAAATATATTGAACAGTATCAGTACAAAAATCTGTGTATCTCAATTCCAAATCATTTTAAATTATAACATATGAAAGCTTAAGTTTATTTTTTTCAATTATTTCATGTGTCAGATGTGATTTAACTAATTTAATAATTCTCTATCATTGCAAAATCTACATTTCAAAGATTTTAACATTCGTAATATTTAAAAATCATTTTTAATATATGTGTTTATATAAAGCGTAGCTAAATATTTTATAGAAAAATTAATTTGTACTTATAGCTATATATTATAAAATTAATTAAATGCTTGAAATTGTTTAGTTTTTAAAATATTTATAAATTTTTGTATATTTTTTTAAGTTTAAGCTTAAATAAAAAAAAATTTTAATTATAAAATATTATTACTACGTCTAACGTATGAAAATTTTAACGTATAAATAGAAAAAATACTTTAAAATTTAATTAACGAAAATTTCGAGAGGGAACTCGTTAAATTATTTAAGTTTTTTTATAGATATAATTTTATATTATATTCAAATTAAATTAAACATTTTTAAATTACATTTCATAAATTATTAATATTTAATTACAGCAAATTGATGAAAATACATCAGAAAATTCATTTTCTGGAAAAAGATTAATTTAAAAAATATGTCTATTATATGTAATGTTACAATGGAAGTGCGGTTATAATAGACTTTTATGCATCAAATAAAATGTTAAAAACATTAATAAAAAAGTAATATGTATGCACATAATAATGAAAATCTATATAAATATTTTATAAAGATATATATAAGATATTTGTATATCTTTTTCAATCTAAATAATAGAATCTTTAACACCTTCATATTGAATATATTTTTATATTATACTTATCAATTTAATTCCTTGTATAAATTGATTATATAAATAAATACCTCAACTTCAAATGTTCGACCAGGTATTGTGAATATTGGAGCTTCGAAAAAATATTGCGAAAATTTTACTGCATCTAATGTTGCACTAGTTACGATTAATTTTAATTCTGGTCTTCTTCCTACCGCTTGTTTTAACAGTCCAAATAATACATCAGTGTGAATGGTACGCTCATGAGCTTCATCGAGCATAATAACGGAATAGGTTTTTAAATCGAAATCCATCAAGCATTCTCTTAGTAACATGCCATCTGTCATATACCTGTAACAAAAATATTAAAATGTAAAAAATCTTAGAACGGACCATTATTTTATATATAAAAATTAATAACATTATTTATTAGTTATTGTTGTTGCTATATTTTTCTATTTGATAGTTTTAATCTAATAAATAGATATAATATTACATAATATTACAAAAATGTTACAAAATCAAATAAATAATCAAATAATATTCATCTATAAATGCTACTATTAAATTTTTCACTTTTAAGATTGTAAATTTATACCATGTATAAACATCGTATTGTAGTTACCAATTGATAATATGAATTAAAATCAAATCGCATCCATGCTTTCATACATTTAGATCCTCTATCTATTTAGTAAATGATTACATTCTGAATCATGCATAACATATTGTCCCATTCTCCGTTTTATTTATACAATTAATTAAATATTCATCTGATAAGAACACATTATAATACTTTTTTTCTACTTTAATTCCAATACTTCCAAATTTTTATGCCAGATACATTTGACAACTTAGTCTGATCTCAAAGCCTCTTTAGCATTTTCATAATCAATATATCACAATATCACTATAACAAAAAATATGAAATTCTTATTTCATATAAATTAAACAGTTCCACCATTTTCATCACATTCAATCACATTTAATTAGCCAACTCAATAATATAGAATTTTGTAACTAAAATATCGTTAGTAATAAATAAAAAGATTAATGACATTAATATTTGAATTTAAAATACAAATAAATAAAATGTGTAATATTCAAATATAATTTTAATTCAGAATTTTACCAAAAATTATATTAAAAAATCGATCTACGTCATTTTTAAATAAAAATAAATGATTTTTAATTTACTGATGCTTTATTTATTTACTTGTTTGAACTTATTCATAATTCTATATTAAAATTGTCCATTTCATATAAGTCAATAAATATATATGTTCATTTGTATATAAAAGAAAATACTTATTTATATTTTTCGTTTGCTAATAAAAAATGAAAACATTTGGGATAAAATATTTAAAAGTAATTATAAAAAAAAACAAGCACTGTAAAATATAAATTTAATATAAAAATTCTTTTACATCCACTGTTTTAATTTGGTAATTTTCAACTTTTCTTTTATCATTCCAAACAATGTTATATGATAATATTAATTATAGATAATAATACTACAAATGTTAAATACAAAAAAATACTCACTTAATAATAGTTTCAGGACCAGTGCAGTCTTCGAACCTAATAGTGTAACCGACTTCTTGACCCAGTCGACATCCGAATTCTTCAGCTACTCTGTTTGCTACAGACATAGCAGCGACTCGTCTTGGTTGCGTGCAACCAATTTTTCCTCTTGCAGTAAAATTTGATTCTGATAAATATTGTGTAATTTGTGTTGTTTTACCAGAGCCAGTTTCTCCAATTACAATTAAAATTTGATTATCTGTTACAGCTTTTATAAGGTCGTCTCGTAATTTATAAATTGGTAAACTTTGACGTTGTTCTACTAAAGTAAGATTAGTTTTCTTTCCAAAACTACTTTTTTTACCACCTATTACATGTTTTTTCCATTCTGGTAAATCTTGCATTTGAAGGCCAATTCCACGCATATTTGATGTCGATTTATAATTTTCTATTGAAATAATTATAAATATTTTATATTATAAAATCAAAATTTGCCACAAAATAAAACAAATATTTGTCATTAATTTTTTAACGTTTTGAAAAACATATAATTTTTACAATATAAACACATTATTTATTAAAATATCTTAAATTTTGATTATTTAATTAGCCATTATGATAAATACATTTTATAAGTATTCCAACTTCTGTCTTGCTAGCTTATTGATAACTAAATAAATACATATTGATATTAATGTTTAAAATAACTGGAGAAAAGCTAAAAAATTTTATAAATTATAATTCTTACAAAATATATATGCGTAAAGCTGTTATGAAAAGATATGTGCTAATTATTATTAATTGTTATAAACAATAAAGTAAGTAATATATCTAGGAAAATCGACTAAACCAGACAAATTAATGAGATTAATATATAAATTAATTTTACTATATATTATTTATATAACATTCATAATGTCATCAGACCCTTCAGATAAAATAAAACATTGAATGTTCATACTTTTTATTTCAAAATTTATTTTGAAATATGTGTTTTAATGAATTTGTTATGAAATCAAAAATATTTATTCAGATGAATACAACACACATTAATATTCACAATGTACTTACAACCATACATACAAAATTGTCTCAAAGCAGCTTATATTATTTGGCCAATGTTTCTATCAGTTATATAGTTTTAATTTAGAAAAAATAAAAATCAATGAATACATTTAAAATATTTTAATAAGTAATAATGTAGTAAATTAAATATATTTTAATATATATTAACAAAATATTTTCATACCCTCAGGAAGTGGATCGATCCAACTTTTATTTTGACCAGTTGGAAGAGAATCCATTTCTTGTTCTCTTTGAAGCATTTTTTGCTCACGGCGTTCTTTAGCAAGTGCACTCTGCATCATTGCTGCTTGAGCAAGTGAACCATCAGGATTTTTTACAATTCTAACAGGGCTTAAGTCACCTAAAGCTCTACCATGTCCATTAAGAAAGGGAGGTTCTTCTTCAACTAATTCAATTTCAACATCTTCTTCTTCATTATCTTCTCGGGGCAAAATACCAGTTTCAGTATCAAATTCAGGTAATTCACTTCTGTAATTAAGAAAAATCGATAAAGTTCATTTAAAAATAAATAATTCCTTGTCTACTCTGTATCATACCGTTCAATACATGATGCTGCTAACATTTGCTTGATTTCCCATTTTTCTGGAGACGATAATCTTTGTACTCTTTTTCTAGAGCATGTTTCATCTTCATCAATGTTACTTTGATATTCAAGAAGTGATGTTGGTCGATCTGGATTACGTAAAAATTGTTCGTCATCCTCTGATTTAATTGATGCTATAATAGGATTTAAATCTCGTCCATTTTTTTGATCAACATCTTTCATGCTTAGTGATACCTAAATTAATACAACATATTTGTTACAATATACTACACAGTATCTTTGCATTAATAAATAAACTTATATATATTAATAATTATAAATGAAACAAAAATCAATAAATAAGAAAATAAAAATCTATATTTTTCTATATTTTATGAATTTTTGACAAATATAAAAACGTTTTGACATTTACGTATAATCATAATTATTCTTTTAATATTGATATATTCTAGCTTATCAATACTGATTTCAAATATTTACAATGCGTCCTGATTTGTTTCACAATGTATAAATGTGTGATGAAATGTAATAACAATGAATTGATTAAATTAATTCTATTATTTCGAAAACAGTACATTTTTTATCATTTTAATCAGTTATTTATAGATTGGCAATAATGCATAAAAAATGAATAACGAGTATTCAAAATTTTAGTTTAAAACTAATTTTTTCTATTATTTTATGTAATTAGCATATTATAAAATATACTTAACATTAATCATTAATAATTAATAGCTTATAACTAGTTCTTTAATATGAAAACATAATAATTCACTCCATATATATTTAATTAATTTCGTTATTATTAAAAAAATTATTAACATGATATTAAAAATCTATATTTTATTTTAACATATAAAATTCTAGAATTTATTTATTCCATTACATTACCTTTTGACCAATAATACTAAGAACTTTTACTAAAACTTTCTGACCACGTATAACAACATCACTAGCACTAGCGACTCTTCCTTCTCTTCGTAATTGAGAAATATGTACTAAACCTTCCCAGCGTCGACGAAGTCCCTCTAACTGAATAAAACAACCAAAAGGTACTATATTTGCAACTTTGCCATTATAAATTTTGCCAATTTCTAGTTCAACTGCTAAGTCTTCTAATGAACTAGATCTTGATTTAGAAAATGAGCGTGATCTCGATTGAAATTTATATTTATTACTATATTTGTAAGGTTCTCTTATGCGTGAACTAGTATATAATGTGTTGTTCCTTTTCCATGAGCTAAAATATAAATTATTAATTAATATTGGATAATATTCATATTAATAAAAAAAATTTTAGGCTTAGAAATTTATTTTACAAATAAAAGTAAAACATTTCAGATTATACAATTTTGTTTTTCATTCAAAATAATTTGTAAAAATTAATATTTATATAAATTCCTTTCTATATTTATATAAGTTCCTACAAAATAAGAATGAACTGTTTGTCATGAAAATGTACACATAAGGTATTATTTTTAAATAATGGAATTTCATATTACAGCTGTTTTATTTAAATTTATGTCAAATAATAAAATATGTTCGTGAAATCATTGATAAAAAAATCCAGAAGCAGTGAAATATCATAAATTCAAAAAGTCAATATTCAATAAATATCTGTACTATTCTATAATATTAATATATAATTTTATGTCTTCAAAATGAAACAATTTTTTAACAATTTATCACCATAGCTATTGTAATTGTAATCATGACTTGATTATATTTTAATAAATTTTGAAGTTTTTTCTCCAGTTCATTCATTTATAATTCTTAATTACAAATATATAATATTGTATGGCTACCATTTATTTTAGAATATTATTATAATCTTTCTTAAATAATTATGTACTCAATCTCTATTTTTAAAAATTTTGTACATTAAATTATAGATCATATTTTACATATATTTAAAATTAACACATTAAGTACACATTATTTAACTATGTAAAGATAATAAATAGCATTCTTGGAATAAACATTCTTTATTTTCCTGGTCATATACTTTTTGAGACCAATATAACAAAACTATGAAATTATTACACAATTTGTATATAATACTTTGATTGGCTAAATTTCACACCAGGAGTATTATATAAAAATCTATAATATTTATAAATTTTCTTTTTTGCTAGCTACTTCCTTAAACTACTTATTAATAAAAGTAAGCTTGTAAATTAAAACATTTTTGGATTACAATAATAAAAATAAAATGTTTTCATAATATTTTTATATTGCTTATTACTAACATCCCACACAATACATAAGTAATATAGTTACTAAATCTTATTCCACTTTTTATCTGTGAAATTGTAATAATCTTGAGTAACTAAGATCAATACAATAATTTAATAAAATAATAACTAAATTAAATGAACACTATATATTTATTTTGTTTAATAATAATTAACAGCAAATTAAGTTACAAGTTTATTTGTCCGCATTGCTGGAGACAAGATGTTTTCTACAAAGTAATAAACTTATGCAAATGACTATAAGGTTATTTACTCTTACTATATTGTATTGATTAGACTCAATACAACTCCTTTGGCATTTAAATTTTTAATCATTTACTTGTTTGAATAAATTGTAAGTTGTGAGTTTTAATGATTTTAGTTCTTTACTAAATTTAATCATTCCTACTAATAAACTTGATTCAGCTAAAATAATCTAAGACATAAATCATAAAAAAATTTCTAAAAAAAAAACAGCAACAAATATAGTATATATAATATAGTCATTAATTTCTTAGAATTTTGTGTTTTTCTTTGATATCAATATGTTTAATAAATGATTAGTTGACATAAGTTCATTCTTTTTTTTTTATTTTGCTGCTTTATTCTATGCATAACTAATAAGTGAATATAACATCATCTCACCAAATATACTATTTGTTTGTAAAATATTACCTACTCAGTTTATACATTTATTATAATAAAAGAATTTATAAACAATTTGAAATAAGTACCTCATAATTTTACCAATACATTGATATGATATTTTGTATTATTCTTAAATTTATATTTAAATATCAAAATTTAAATTGATTTTTGTGCATAAATATAAATATTTATAATTTGTGACAATAGTAGCATGTTTCAAATAACTCAAATTGTTATTAAGATTATTTTAATCTAAATAAATCTATTTCTCACCTTGATCTATTTGTTGATCTTTCAATTGATTTAATTCTTTTATTAGCTCTTCTATCTCTATTTATGTCTATCGTCATATTCTTATCTTGGGTTTTAGATAAATCTATTAAACTTTTTCTTTGTTTATTTTTATCTTTAATATGTATTTTTTCTCTATCATCAAAATCACATAGACTCACTTTTCTTATTTGTTCTTTATGGATATCTTGATTTTTACCTTGCTTTGAACATGTATGCACAACTGTTGTTTTTTTTTTATCTTTATTTTCATATTTATTTTGAATCTTTCCTATTTCATAATACATTTTGTCAATAATTTTATCATTAATTCTACATTCATTACTACTTGTCATACAAATATCTTTAACCTCAAATTGGTTCTTATGTTCATCAATATTATTATTTGACAAACAAATAGGTTTTTTGTTTGGTTGGGCTAAACCTGGAAACCTATCAGCCAAGTTATCTTGCTTAATCTTTGAAGAATTACTGTTAGATCTTGAATTTTTTGATTTCATATGTAGAATTATTCGTAATAAATTTGCGATGAAAGAATCCTGGTTGAAACAAATTTAAAAGAAAAGAAATTTTGCAAGATATAATCCTACAGTTAAATTGATATCATAAATATTCTACTTACAGAAAATTCTGCACCATGTTTTATAAGTATTTTTTTAAAGCTATCAAATGTGCTATTCTCTTCTGATAAATGCACAATAAATTCAGCTATTAAAAGAATGAAAAATATTTAATAATATCTTGTTAACTTAAAAGCTACTTCTCAAAAATATGTATCTTTAAAACGAAATTTTTATTATTTTTCCAATTATTACCTAAATCTTTATTATTTAGACCTAAATGATTTTCTAATTCTGTACATATTTTAGAAACAAGTGAAAGATGTTCAAGGGTATTTACTTCATCCATTTTTAAAGTACGAAGTAAAACAATATTTTATCAAATCCAAAGAACGTATATTGTCAATTATATGCTAGAATAGTAACTGCCATAATAAAGAACGAAAACTGAATCTACACATCAAAATTCTAACCACCAAGTTATCTGTCCATAAATAACTGATCTATTATTAAATATTATGAACATTGATTTTCATAAAAAACAAAATGTTCTATTACATATTACACAAACAAACTATCAAAGTATGTATAAAATAACTTAATAAATACACTATAAACTAAAAAAATAAAGACAAATTAGGTTAATTATAAATTTAAATGTTTTAATAAATTACATTAAAGGTTTTTTCAAGATAGAATAGAGCCATGCAATATGAATATAGTCTTACGCCATGCGTATAAATAGTTTCAAACGATTGGCTCTTACAAATGCACACAACATAATTGCCTATAAGTTTTATAAAAACTATTATTTCATGATCAAACTTATATCAATAAAATTATACAAATACAAAAATTATAAAATTAAAAATATTTATTCAAATGAACAATTATTGACTATAGTTTTAAAACCCACAATAAAATTTTTCAAATTTATTAAGATTTCATCGATTTTAAATGTACAAATAAATTTATAAAAATGATGTATAACGTCATTTGGCCAATATAATAACAAAAAATCCGAAAATATCGTAAATAGTTGGTTTTTACGTTTTGGAAATAATTATTTATAAAAATAAAAAAGAAGTTAAATGTAATGTAAAATATTTAATCAAATCGAAAAAATATTTTTAAATATTCTAAAGTAAATCTGCAGCTTTTTATAATTGATATAAAAGTTTCAAGCTAACTATAAAATATATGAAAAAAACTTTATAACAAATGTTTGCCAAATAGCAGATAGTATTAGCTATGGGTAATGAGAGGAGATGAAATCTAAATAGCACAATACACTAAATAGTATGATTGTGTAGACGAAAATTCACTGATTAGCACATTTATCAATTCACAGAATTTAGTATGTAGAAGTAAGCATGTTAAAAAAAATATGATTTATTGTATGGACGAGACGTAGCTACATCTTAATTTATTGCCATTTAACAGTAATGTCAAAGAAGTTAACAAAATGGTAAAAATTCATTATCTTAGCGATATGGACCCGTAACATTTTTATGCTATCAAATAATATTGCCATAAATAAATAAAAAATTATTCAGTATAAAAATTATGCAATTATGATATTTTAGGTTTTTTTTATAAACTCGGATAAAAAATAAAAAAATGACCTTTAAAACTCAATTATACGATAAAATTTTATTTATTTTTCGTAAAAAATAGTTATATATATATATATATATATATATATAAAATTCTATATTAACTAATAATTTTTTTATTAAATGAAGTATCAGCTTAAGGTAACTATTATTCGTTTACCTTCACTTGTTTATAAAAATTAATTTAACAAAATATATGCTTACATAAAAATTGGTAAAACTAAAAATATATAATTTATATTAATAAAGTATAATCGGAATATAATTTTAAATGAAGTAATAATACTAAATAATTATAAAATAATTCAATAATTTAATATTTTACAGTATAATAATAAAACATCTCCTTAATTTAAATATGGTGCCTATAATAACACTAATAAGAATAAGATTATTGCGACTGTGAAGTTAAATTAGTTCACGTTTTATTTTGAAATGTTACTTTCGACTCTTCGTAGAATATAGTTAACTTCTGTCTTTATTCCCTTATTTTTAAGTTTTTGCTCATACAACCGCTAAATTAATTAAGTGTGAAATTCCATAATTACAATATATATATATATATATATATATATATATGTATCAATAATATCACTTATTCTACCATGGCTTTTCAAGATAAATCAGATAAAAGTTAGATTATAAAATACGTGAATTAAAATACAATTAATTACAAACAAAAATATTAATTATATTAAAATTTGAATAGAAAAAATTTAACAAATGAGTTAGACTAATTAACATAATCTTATAATATCGTTTTAAGTATATTTTACTGGTAAAATATAAAAATTATATTTTTAAAATATTGAATCAAATATTAACTGCAAACAATAAATATTACTCGTAAATAAAAAAAAAATTTATAAAAGAACAACTTTTGTATAAAAAATATTAATATTAATAAAGTGAACTTGTGTTTTATAGATATTATTATTTGAAAATGTTTCCAACAGTATTAAGAATATTTTTACAACCTTCCTTACGAAAAATGTGCACAAATCTTGGTATGCTAATAATCTACTGAAATTTTATTGATTTTTATTTTTACTTTAAGACAAACTGAATTAAATTTAATGAAATATTTGGAATTAGGTAAATTTTATATAAGACCACGACAAGTTTGGATTGAAGATTTGGTAACAGAAAAAAAAGTAGGATTAATAAGTTTACATGCAGATATATTTGGAACCTATCCTCGTATTGATATAATTCATGAAAATATCACTTGGCAACGACTTTATCGTCATATAGTAAGAAAAATTTTTTCAATGATTCTAAAAAATGTAAATAATTATTTTATTAAAAAAATTTCTAGTCTTATGCCAATACAAAAATTAGTGTTGAGGTTCGAGGTGGTGGCCGTAAACCACATGCACAAAAAGGATTAGGTATAGCTAGACATGGAAGTATAAGATCTCCATTATTTCGTAAAGGTGGTATTTCACATGGTCCTCGGTCACCGACACCTTATTTTTATATGCTGCCATTTTATAATCGTATTTTGGGTCTTACAAGTACTTTATCAGTTAAACTTGCACAGGATGATTTATATATAGTGAAAGAACTTGAAATACCAAATGATGATCCATCCTTTATTTTAGAATTATCTGAAAAAAGAAATTGGGGCCCATCTATCCTGTTTGTTAATAGTAATTCTACTTTACCACAAAATATAACAATAGCAACAAATTCTATAAAACATATCAATTTAATGCCTGTAAGTGGTAAGTGTTTCAGTGAAATTATAAACGATAGTGTAAATTAATGAAAAATTAATTATTTATTTAGGCTTAAATGTGTATAGTATGCTGAAACATGATACATTAGTTTTAACAGTACAAGCAGCTCAACTTTTAGAAGAAAAATTACTTTATTCTTTAAAGAAAATTATTTATAAATATACTTAAAAAAAGTTAAACTATTTACACCAATTAATAAATTTACAAATTTTTCATAATTATGTATTAGAATAATTAAAATAATTAATGATTACATTCTATTATGCATCTTTTTTTAAGAAATAACCAATAGTATAATAGGCTAGTTCAAATATGTTTATTTTTTATTGTATTATATTAGATCCAATATTGAGGTAAGTATATGTTAATTATAAAATAATTATGCTTTTGGAATGGAGTTAGATTTAAATAGTTTTGTACGCACTGCACATCTTAATTTTGCATGAGCATTTTCTCCAGGAATTGATAATTGTTTCCAAAAAGTTTTATAATGATTATATAAAATTACTGGATCACTAGTAAGATGCTTATGAAATATTCCTATTTCTGGTTTTTTTTTTGAAGTAGAAACTAAAAATAAAAAATAAAATATACTTATATAATATACATGAAATAAATTTAATAAAAGATTTACATACATGACTTTGATATTAAAGTGATTTCTTTTTTGGGTATGTTATTAGATGATACATTTTTTATTTTGATATTATCAACATTATATTTATTAAATTTATTAAAAACTGTATTTTTATTCGGATCTGTAGGTTTTTCTATCAATCTTTGAACTTTATTTACAGTTGTTTTTAGATTTTTTTTTGTATTTTCATCTTCAGTTTGTTTACATTGTTGCTTATGCACAATTATTGTATTTATTAATTTTGATTTATGATCTAGTAGATTTTTTATATATGTATTATCTTTTAGTAATTTTGTAGATGTTTCTAGCTGACAATTTTTTACCATTTTTCTATACAGTTTTAATTCTAAAATATAATCGATTTAATTAATTGACTATGCATCCATATATTTCTATTTAATGATATTAGTAATTAATTGTAAATAAAATTTAACAGTATTTTATATAATTAATAAATGCTTTATATGTAAATTATTTCCTAATTTTTATGTTATAGTATTAGAATATTTTTAGAAAATTCACCTTTTAAAAATGTTTTTAATTCTTGTGCACTAATATTAACAATTCCCAAGGAATTTAAAATTTCTAAAACTTGTCTTGGATCATCTTTAAATTCTTTATTCATAGTTACAATAATTATTATCAAATTTATATTTTGATATTAAATATCAAAATAAAACTTTTACAAAATATACCAAAACTGTAAACAGCCTTTTTCACACAATATTCAAAATTAATACGTTAGGTTTCCGTAGTACTTTGTATACATACAACAGTTACGCCAAACGACTATTAGAAATTGAACATGGAATTGAATCTGCGATTTATTCAATTGATTTTAAGATTTTGAAAGTTTTAATCATTTTTAGTAAAAAAATATACGTAAAATATCTTACCAATTTCTGAAATTCGGATATCAATAAAATGAATATATAAATTTATATTGTTTAAGAGTATAAGAAAGTACTTATTTTTTAATTTATCCAATCATAAAATTTAAAAAATGTAATTATTAACCAGATTCTCTAAAGCATAATATGTACAAATAAATTATTTATCAGTAAATAAGTAAAAAGAAAAAGTTGATGAAAGAATATCCAATACATAAACATATAATTTATTCTATTTATAGTAATTTCACTTATTTTAATGATTAAAAAATTGAATAATTTGTTTAATCAATACACCTAGCATTATATACAGTATTTGGATAAGCAAAATTATAAAATATATCCATTTGAAGAATACGCAATATTTTTTTAAATATATATATATATTTTTTTTTTTAAATAATATTAAGTGAATATAATATATAGTCAATATAATATAATAATTTAGTTAAAAATTATACTATTTATTGGTATTTTCTTAAAATAAAAATTTATTTACGGATATTGTAAGTGTTTATATTTTATCTATTCATAGAATAGCAAATTTTATTTACAAAAAGATTATATAAGTTGAAGCTACAAATTTGTATTCAAGAATTATACCTAAGTCAATAGATTTTTTTTTTGTACATTTGAAAATAATGTGATTGTGTTAGGTCTATTTATTAATTGTATAATAACGATACCAGTTTGAAATGGCTGTAACATTAATGTGAAAAGAAATCATAAATTTTACTCTACCATATTCAGGCCATTTGAAAACAGCAAAGATAATTAATTGCAATTGCCAGACTAAATAATGCTCAAGTTATTTTGAATGTAAATAAATCTGCATATCCAAATTACTCGTGCATAAACAAGATATATAGTTACCATTATAGAAAAATAAATAAAGAACTTATCTTGTTTTAATGATGACTATTCTTTAGATAATCTATAATGTAAATGCTGTAATTTAACAAAGATTACTAACGATGAATTATGGCTATGATTAAATAAAAACCATCTTACAAGTTAATTATTGGTAGAATAACATTGATGCGAAAGGAGAACTTTCATATGTATTCATCTATTATTTCCAAAATTTAATGGAATCAATAAGGAAAGCTTTAATTTTGGAAAGTTCTGATAATTGCATAACAGTTAAACAAGATTTTTCATTAGTTATATTTAAAATATATTTTAGCAGTTATATTTCAAATAATTTGTATGCTTAAAAATTATGACACCTTGTTAATCACATGTAACTACAACAATTGATACATAAATTATTAAATAAAAAACTAATCTTTTAGAAGAATACATTTTTTTTTTATTTACATCAATTGTAATTAGTAAATGATATTTATTTGATAAAAATTAAGAAAACATAAAAATATATTTTATAATTATGCTATAAGATATATTTTTGTTTGAATATGTGAAATATGACAAAATATGTCGAATTTCATTATTTTTATAATTCAAAAATCAAGAATGAACAACAATCCAGATATAAAACGATAATATAATACTCAAGTATATATAGATATTGTATATACTGATAGTTAAATCATTTGAAAAGAAGTAGTAGTAGAAATAGAGATAGTGCTTTATAATTCTTACATACTTGTGTTACTTAATAACTAGTATCAGCAATTATTAAAAACAAAACCAAGATTCACAGGTCTGTCAATATCATAAAATGTATTAATATTTTATTTGACACTTCTAATTAGTTTAATTTAAAAATATTTGTTTAAATTTTTATTTTATACAACTTGTATATGATTAATAGTATTATTTTTTATTAAGTTTAAAACATATTCTTGATACCATCAAATACTACAATAACTCAAATATAGCATTATTAAATTTTGAAAAATTATGGACCTTAATTGTAAATAATTTTCTTAAGAGAAAAAAATTTTAATGTTCTTATTACCATTAAAATTTATCTTAAAATTTTAGATGTAAATGTAATTATTTCGAATAAATATTCAGTTGCTAAAGTATATACATCTAATATGAATAATTAGTCAGATTGAACTATCAATGTATGAAATGAACGTTTTATTTTATTCTGTGTATTATTTATATAGCAATAGTATTACAGTATTTTCAATGTCAAACTGCTATTCACTGGTTAATCTTTATCATTCATTAAAAATTATGTTTATAATTATTTTTGTATTATGTACTTAATTTAATTTATATTAAAAACACATTAGTTTATATACTTAGCACCATAAATGTATGAGATAATGCGACATAGTTCAACATCAGTAAATTTGTTATCTTTAATAAGATTATATTTTTATGTAAATACTCTTATATTATTTTCTTCACCATATAATATACCACATAACAGTTAAGTTTAAAAAAATATTATCCAACAATATTAACCGTGATTATTAAAAAGGAAATATTGTATACTATTCATGAATATTAAAAATTTTATAAAGTATTTCTATTTTAGTTGATCCAATCATTTATAGTAAAAAATAATATTTTAAAAATTAAAATTGAAATTTATTTATTTAAGGTTATTCTGTTATTAGTTGTCTTTAATAGTTTCAGAGTTTACAAATGGGAATTTATTTTTATTTTGTACAAAGCTGTGCAAAATTTAAATACAAAATACTATTTTAATGAATGTATTTAATTACTTTTCAAAATCTTATTCTAGGCAGATTAAAAAACAATTAATATTAAAACTATAAAACGAAATTATATATCTATATATATTTCTAACTATGTTATAATTAATCTTCTGGAATATACAAAAAATATTTGTAAGCAAAAATGTGATACTATTATTGTAAATAAACTTTAAAAAAAAAATTAAATGGTTGATAAGTGATTTATTAAATTCTACATGTTTTACTGCATCTGTGGCACCGTATTGAACAAACTTGAACTATTTATAATATGTTATATGAAAAAGCCTATTAATGATATAAATAAGTACATTACTTGTAAGTTATAATAAATACAGCATAGCAAAAAGTTAAAGTTCGAGATACTAATATTATTTATAATTAATACAAGGAATAAGCAAACATACTTTGTAATTAATATAAAGAATTTAAAATCAAATTTAAATTTAAATTGAGGAAAAAATAAAAGAAAAGTATTTTCACGTGAAATATAATTAAAATTGTTTATAATTCCAGTCATCCGGTGGTCGAAGGACCAATATGATTGGATTAGACTATGGCCACCAGTTGCCTGGCGGAAGAAAAAGTGCGGGCAAGTGGAAAGGTTAGCGCATTTGTTCAATAATTAAATACATTTGTTTATCGTGCTGTTTATTAACCTTTATTTTACAGACTACACATTAATGATTCTAAAATGGTGTTGACGATCAGTGAGATCTTGCTTAAATCTATTGACACTTTTTCGTGTAGGGCCAAC